CAGCAAAAATGGGTTAATATATGAAATCCTGGCTTAAATCTGACTCATAGTGGTCCACTGCATTTGCAGATCCAGTGGTCATGTCCCCAGTCTCCAAGTATGTAACTGGAACTCATATACTTGGCAATTGGATTAGTCTCCATATTGGGTCCTTGCCTGTGCATTGAGAGCTTTCACAGTGGGGAAAGCCAAATGGAAACCTCTGCCTTCTCCTCCTCTAACCAAGTGCAATTAAATACAATACTGCACTCTAGAAAATGACAAAGATTAGTGTCACCATTAAAGACCTGAAGGAGGGGTGATCCCGAACATATTTCTGTTTAATTCATCACTCTGGCCCCTGCAGAAACCAGCTGGACCCTAGAGAATGACCATAGACTACCACAAGCTCAACCACACAAAGCTTAACATCATAAAAGAGAGGTACAGCCTCCTTAGGATCTGGAGGCAACATATTCCACACCTAGAAATGCTTCTCTGGACCATATATATACACAGAAAGCTGCCAGCTCTGAGTGGGGCCTAGAGCAGTAAAGCCTCTGCAGCAAGTCCCAGGCTATAGTGCACACAGCATTGTCACTTAGATCATATGATTCTGGTTGACCCTGTGTTGTTGAAGTTGTCAGTAGTGGGAAAAATGCAGTGAGAACATCACTGAGATAGTAGACCAAAGCCATGGAATCTACGACAGATATTTATACTACTTTTGAGAAACCACTCCTTATTTTAGGTACCATAACCTCCTTTTTTCATGCTTCTCTAGTCTATTTACTAAACAAACCACAAAGTTGCCAATTTTCAGTGTGACACAGAGCAAGAATATGCTTTTAATAGGTCTGATCTTTTACACACACCGTCTCTTGGACAATATGACCTAGCATATATGTAGCTTAAAATGTCTGTGGCAAATAAAAATGATGTATGGAAAAGCCTTTGGGAAGCCCCTGTGTGAGTCAAAATACAGTCTCAGGATTTTGAAGCAAATCAATAACTTCTGCAGATAACTTATTTAGAGAAAAAGTTTCTAGCTTGCTACTGGCCCAGTATCTTTGCTCTTATCCAGTCCTGACCCTCAAAGTTAAAAACTATATAGAATTCTGGCTCGGCGCCTGTGGCTCAAGTGGCTAAGGCGCCAGCCACATACACCTAAGGTGGCGGGTTCGAATCCCCAGCCACCAAACAACAATGATGCAACCAAAAAATGGCCAGGCGTTGTGGCAGGGGCCTGTAGTCCCAGCTACTTGGGAGGCTGAGGCAGGAGACTTGCTTGAGCCCAGGAGTTGGAGGTTGCTGTGAGCGTGATGCCATGGCACTCTACCCAGGGAGATAGCTTGAGGCTCCGTATCAAAAAGATAAAAAAAACTATACAGAATTCTAATCCCAGAAAGAAGGAAAATTATATAGATTAAATGGCACGTTTGGGATCCTAGAAAAACAAGAAAAAAAGGGGCAGTTAGAAACTCTAAGAGAACTTTAAGCAGAAAAGTGAATTATTATTGGAAAACTTCACATTTGTTATGAATTTTTTCACAAATTTTCTTGATCATATTATTCAGTTAAAGTCCATGATATGTAATTCCTATATCTAAATTACCTGTGGGTCTGCTTTTGCTGTCCACTTTTTTTTCTGACTCTGCATATGCCTAGCAATTTTTGATTGAATGCGACGACTGTGCATAAGAAATTGTAGAAGCTCTAGACAAGCTTTAGTTTCTGAAAACAATTATAGTAGTGGCAAATTACCTTAACTTCGTTAGCTAATGAGCTAATTCAAGGTGGGCTAGCAATCTTTTTAATATCTGGTCTATCTTTACTAATTCCTAGGTAAAGTCCTTCAGAGGTTTCAACTGAAAGCCCGTGGTATTTATTTACCAGGGTCCATCATTACTGGTGGATCTAAACTCCCAAGTTTGATTTCCTTAGAACATAATTCTGCTGAAAGCGCTGCACCTCCAAATCTGTCCCAAGCCATTTACTAATCAGTGGACTTCTTGCGGAGCAAAGTTAACTCAGTCTATCAGCTTTCTCTTCAGTTCTGTCTCTAGAATCTTGCCACTCAAGGCCACCTGTCTTAGCTTAGGGATCTCTCAAGTACTAGAAGCCAGCTGCAGTTTCTTGTTTCCTCAACATGGCTGCTTACTTCATTAGGCCAATAAGGACAATCTCTTTTTAATTTGCTAAAATGGATTCTTACATGTATAACACAGTCATGGGAGTGACATCCCATCACCTTTGTCATAATCTAGCCATTAGGTAGAAGCAGTCTTAGTTCTGCCCACAGGGGAGGGGATTAGGACATAAATCACTGAGGGTCACCTAGGGTGTCTGCCACAACTGATAACAAAAGGACAGGGATGAGAGGGAATATGAGCATTCAGTGGCTTTCACAAACATCACAGTGAAAAGAGCTTTTTTCCAAAAGTCGGTTTTGTCTTATTATCTGTGGTACAGTTTAACATCCACTGTATCTCTCACCTGTAAAGTCTATTTTTTTTTTT